TTTAAACACTCCAGTCGTCCTGTCCCTTCCGCCTTGTCCTCAGCGGATTCCGCCGGGCAGCCCCGGGGTCTCTGCCCGGCTTTATGCGGTGAAGCCAGCTCGGCCGTGGCTGGGGCGGGGGCAGCGGGGAGGGAGGGCTGAGGGGACAGAGACACCCCGGGCCAGCCCTGCCCTGCCCGGGTGTGCGGCCAAGGGTGACAGGGACAGGAAGGAGGCTGCTGTCATTGCCCTCAGCTCACCCCCGGAAGGCGGGTGGGAGGAGATTTGGGATGTTTTCTGCAGTTTGGGGTTGCAAAAGGTGGTTGGTGTCAGTGTCGGGGGAGTGGGAGAGGGGTGTGGGGCTCAGGATTAATGGAATGGGTTGGAAGGAACCTTGAAGCTCGTCCAGTGCCATGGCAGGGACACCTCCCACTGTCCCAGGCTGCTCCAAGCCCCAATGTCCAGCCTGGCCTTGGGCACTGCCAGGGATCCAGGGACAGCCCCAGCTGCTCTGGGCACCCTGTGCCAGAGGACCCTGGCAGCTGCTCCAGAGGCCTCGGGAGGAGTGGGACCTGGCCCCATGTGGCAGAACAAAAGTGGGAATGTTCTCATTTGCTGCCCTATCTTTGTGGTTCTCTTTTTAATCTCAGTAAGGGCAAGCAGCGTGGGGTGACTCCAGCACGGATGGTAGAGAGGTAAATTTGGATTTAGGAAGGCAGCACAGATAGGGATGGGACAGAGGAATCCTGACACTGAGGCTGTTTCCCCACAGGGCTGTTGTTAAACATGAAATTCCAGAGCAGACCCTCAAGTGACGCTGCTCTGTCATTTTGTTTGTCTCACCCACTCAGAAGTAGCACAAGGTCTGGCTGCAGAGTAATTTCTCCTGATTTATTTTTGTTTGTTCCCTCATGCAGTGTCTGTGGGGATCTGTGGGATTTTTCTGGGTTAGGACAAGACCTTTGCTCGTTCTGGAAGGTGCCTGGCACATTCCTGTATAGTGTTATCCCTTTGGAACCCTGGAATATCCTGAGTGGGAAGGGACCCAGCCCTTCCCAGCCCAGCCCAGCCCTGCCTAGAGCCCCCAACAACCCCACCCTGGGCATCCCTGGCAGCGCTGTCCAAACGCTCCTGGAGCTCTGGCAGCCTCGGGGCCGTGCCCATTCCCTGGGGAGCCTGGGCAGTGCCAGCACCTCTGGGGGAAGAACCTTTCCCTGCTCTGCAGCCTGAGCCTGCCCTGGCCCAGCTCCAGCCCTTCACTTGGGTTCTGTCCCTGGTCATCACAGAGCAGAGCTCAGAAAAACTCAATTTTTATTTTTCAAATGTAACTGCTCTGGTTTATCTAAGACTAATTCCCCCAACTGCTAATTAATTGGTGTTTGTGAATGGTCAGATTGGTGTTGATCCCGAGTCAAGATCTGGATTTCCACTAGAAGGCATCCCTACCTGGCAGGGGTTGGGATGAGATGAGGTTTAAGGTGCCTTCCAACCCAACTATTCCATGATTCCATGACAGGACACAAGGAATGTCTTCCCACTGCCAGAGGGCAGGGATGGATGGGATATTGGGCAGGAATTGTTCCCTGGCAGGGTGGGCAGGCCCTGGCACAGGGTGCCCAGAGCAGCTGGAGCTGTCCCTGGATCCCTGGCAGTGCCCAAGGCCAGGTTGGATGGGACTTTGAGCAGCCTGGGACAGTGGGAGGTGTCCCTGCCCATGGCAGGGGGTGGGACTGGATGAATTTTAGTGTCCCTTCCAATCCAAATCATTCCATGATTTCCTCTGGGTGTAATGGAAAGCAGGATCTGTGCCTGTCATTGGGAAGGTGCTGGCAGACTCTGCTGCCATTCCAAGTATCCCTGCAGATCTGAGCCCATTTAAATTGGCAGCTGAGTATCATAAGCCTGACACTTGGATTTAATTAATACACATCTGCATGGGTAGCCAAAGTGGCTGGAATGGCCCCGAGCCCGGGCTGTGAGAAGGCAGGAAATTGAGGTCAAGGCCCAGGCACCTCCTGGGGCTCAGTGTGGAGAGCAGCAGCTCTCCCCAGACATAAAGGAGTCTGTGCCCCTTCCGGGGTCACCTTCCTCCCTCTGCCCGGTGAAACACCCTGGGGAGTCCGAGATAAAACCTGCAGCTGATACAGAGCAGCGTGGAGTGTTCTGGCAGCAGCTGGAGAAGGGAAAATGTGGGATGGTGCCCAGGGTATCTCGGCTGGAATTGTCCCAAGACCCTTGCTGTCACCTTCAGGGTGCCTCACAGCAGGGTATTGCTCACCCAACAGGAGACACAGCACTGCATTGCTGTTATACTTTCATACAACACAAAGCCCTGGGTTATTTGGGTTCTGGGGTTTTTTTTATTTGCATTTATTCAGGAAGACTTTTAAGCTAGCACAAAGCCTGGCTGGAAGCATTTATGGCTGCGGTGGGTCCAGGTCTGAGCGCTCTTATTCAGTTGCAAATCAGGGGCTGGAGATGCTGAGACAGTTCTTTATAGAGCAGCTACATTTACTTTATTTCATAGTGACTAAGATGGATCTAATTAGACACCATCTCTGTTTTCAGCTGAAAAATGCTCTTTGTTTACTGCTGGAGCTGTTAGGGGAGATGGAAATAGGTTGGTGCTGCTCAGAAGCAGCTTTTTACTCCTCCGGACTCAGAGAGTGCTGGGAAGTGCTGGTGTTGCAGAGAGTTGGCAGAACCCAGCAAGGTATCCATGCAGTGGAATCCTTGAAAAGATGGGAATAAGTGTTGGGTATAATCACTGAAGGGGGAAGTCTCAGGGAGAATCTGATACTCCTGTAATTGCTTTTTACGATCCTTCCGTCCCCTGCAATGGGAATTGCTTGGAGAATTTGGGAGCAGGCAGCCGTGGGATGTGGGATCTGGCTGTCTGGAATCTGTAGGAGCTTTCTGCCCTGGTTGTTGGGGGAGGAGGGGGAAGGAGCTTCTGCAATTATTGCTGTCGGGGTGATGAAAGAGAAAGTTTGAAATACGATTTCAAAGGCTGGCTGCTGCTGGGCTTCTGCAGGCAGAATTCCCTGGGAGATCTCTGGAAACTTGTGTGGGACCACTGCAGAATCTCATTTGTTTTCCCTGTTTGCAGCATTCTCTTCTGCAGAGATGGAGTGCAGGAGCCAGCAGCTGAGACAGGGAGCTTTTTGTGTCACCAGGAACTTTGGGAAGACTATGGAATAACATGTGGAACAGGGATTTTTTCAGTATTTAAAAGCAGACCCTGCCAGTGGGCCAGACTCGTTCTCTCTGAATTCCAGCAGCCCCACCACAGTGCTGCAAACCTGGCTGCAGAACTCAGGGATGCAAAGGATGAGGGAATTTATGGCTCCATGCTCATTAAACAGTGCTTGGGGTTGGATTCTTGGGCTGGAGGAGGACGATTTCAGACCTCAAGCCCTACAGAGGTGGGTCAGGATCAGCCCAGGGCATGGGGGATTTGGGGTCCCAGCACACACAGCTGGGGCATGGCCACTCCTCACCCTCCCAGGAAAGAACCTCAACATGAGATTTCCAGTTCACTTGGAATATCTGAACATTTTACCTTCAGTGTGGAGGTTTTCAGTCCAATTTAAAAAATCTCAGGAGGTCTTCCCATCAAATGCAGCGTTGCTTTAACTTGTGGTGTGAGGCCTCGGAGATTTCCAGGGGTTTGATTTGGAAGCAGCAGTTCCTGGGAGCAGGGAGGGAAGGGAATGTGGTGTTGGTGCTCCTGCTGGAATGGATGTCAGGCAGGAGGCTTGGCAGCCCTGCCTGAGCTGGGCATGCTGGGCTCTGAGGGACTGCCTGGTGCTCTGCTCTTCGTGCTGAGCCAGAGGAATCAGCTGGGGGGCTGTGATTGATTCTGGGCTCATTTTATTTATAAAATCTTTATTTCTTGTGCTGGTCTCTGTGCCACTTTTTAAATGCATTCAGCTGTCAAAGTGTCAAAACCTGGAGAATTGCTTTTGGAGTTTATCTCCCAATCCATCCATCTTTGCCATTCATCAGGTACCTTTATATCCCTCAGGAGAGAGCTTACAGCTCCTTCAGGGTGTTTGTTGCACCTCCAGCAGGAACACCCGGTGGGGAGAGGGGCTGAAGGATAAAACACAAGCAGATCTCACCTGCACTGACAGTGGCTCCAGGCCCAGCGCAGGTGGGAGCTCCCAAATTCTGTTCTGATCTTAGTGCTGTACTCAGAGCAGACACACCTTGGTGCTGTAGGCTGGGGAGAATGAGGAGAGCAATCCATGATGTACAGGTGGCTCAGGGGATTGTAGGAAATGTGTCCTGTAATGTTTGTAATGCAGCTTCCCACCTGCAGGACAGGTGAGATCAGCTTCTGTTTTATCCTTGAAGATAAAATGAGCTTTGCTGAGTTTCTTCCTTACCTTGCAGAGATGGACACGAGGGAGTTCCCTCCCTCTTTTGTATCAGCTGGTGGAGACTGTGGTCAAAGGTCCCCAGGACCTCCAGCTCCTCCTGCTTGCACCTTGGATGGTTTGTGCTGCACCTTCCCTGGAGCCTGTGGCTCTCTGTTTTCTGTGGTCTGAACTCAGGGAAGGGGAATCCTTCCAGCAGAGCTGTTGTTGCTTTGGGTGACAGAGATAAATGCAGATCAGGCCTTTCCTCCCATGTACAGGCAGCAGATCCTGCCCCAGCAGTCTGTGATGGACAAGGATATAAACTGTTGGGTCTCACCTCTTCCTCTGTTTGCCAACCCTAAGTGATTTGAGTTCTCCTCCTTTGGAAGCAGGCGCTGTAAATCCCGGATCCTCCATTCCCATGGCTGGGCGCCGAGGAGCTGCCTGACGATTCCAAGACATGCTGATTCTGTTTTGCCAGGAGAGAGATGGGGAAAAGGTACTTCTGTGACTACTGTGACAGGTCCTTCCAGGACAACCTGCACAACAGGAAGAAGCATCTCAATGGAGTGCAGCATCTCCGGGCTAAGAGAGTCTGGTACGACTTATTCCGAGGTGGGTGCTCCCAGATGTCTGCCGCTCCCTTCCTGGGACTGGGGAGGTGATGGATGAGGGGGAGAGTGGGAAGAGAAAATAAATCAGCACTGATGGTTTACACAGTGTGTGCCTGCGAATTGAGCATGTGATGCTGCTGAATCAGGCAGTCTCAGAGGTGAAACCCTCGTGTGTGGCTCTGACCTGTCTCAGCAAACAGTTCCAGCTGTGTTAGTGCCAGCCTGAGGAGAGTGGGTTAAACTGGCTGTGAAACCATTGCTTGGGGGTCCCTCTGCTTCCTTCTGGCCCCTGACCACTTTGGGACTGGACATGATGGGATTTTGGTGTGGCCAGGATCTTTACCTGGGTTCATCCCTTGTCTCCCCAGATGCTGCTGCTATCCTGCAGGAAGAGCAAAGCAAGAAACCTTGTCGGAAGTTTCTGCAAACAGGTGAGGAGTTCTGAGGTGGACAGAAGTTCCTGGGCTCCAGCAGCTCCTTCCAGAGCCAGCCCAAAGCTGGAGAGAGGGGTTTGGGCCTGTGGCTGGCATCCAGGTGTGATGGAGCCTGGGTTTGCTTGCACAAGGACCTCCTGTGCGTGGTTCTCATGGAACTCTGGCTTTTCCCAGAATTATTAAAGTTGGAAAAGACCTTTAAGATCACAAAGTCCAAATGTCAATACAGCACCACCATGTTCATCATTAAACCATATCCCCAGGTGCCATATCCACACACATTTTTGAGCACTTCCAGGGGTGGTGACTGCACCACTTCTCTGGGAAGCTCATTCCAATGCTTTACAACCCTTTCTGTGAAGAAATATTTCCTAATATTTAATCTAGAGAATTTTGTATCTGAATTTTCAAATCTCACTATTTCATTCCAGGACAGTGTGATTTTGGGTCCAACTGCAGATTTTCTCACATGACAGAGCAGGACCTGGAGAAGCTGAGTGCCCAGGTTCAGGGTGAGTCCTCCAACAAGGCAATGTCTGAGGATTTCCTTGAAGGGAGAATTGCTGCAGGGGGGTGTGAGGGGTTGTGTAGGCTGTGATCCCCTGCTGCCTGCATGGAGCCAGCCAAGCATGGATCCCTCCCTCCTGCTTCCCAGTGCTGTGTGAGCCTGGAAGTGCTGCAGTTTGTCATATGCTCCCTGCTCTTGAGCTGCTGGCACAGAGACAAACCTGGAGCTGAGCAGTGCTGTTACCACTTGGCAGCAAGAGTTTGGAGTGGCCTTCGTGAGCCCTCAGGGTTTTCTTCAGTCAGGGAATAAAAACTGTCAGCAGCAGAGGGCACTGGTACATCACGTCCCCTTAAATTTATGGATTTGATTTCCCCCCACCTTGCTGCTATTACCAGGGAACTGCTGCTTCCACCCGTGGGAAGAGCTGGTGGGAAGAGCTGTCCTGCTGTCGGGCTGTGAAAGGGGTCCTGGATCCAGAAACAGCCTCTGCTTGGGTGGCTTTGGATGGAAGTGAAGTGTGGGCAGAGGGTGGATGGCAGCTGCTCCCTGCTGGGAGTCTGCAGAGCACTTTTGAACTTTCTCATTCTGGAACTACCATTCTTGGAACTACTTTTCTTTTAGGGAAAAGAGGTGGTAGCTCTGTTTTCTTCATAGGAGTCATTACTTTAGTGGTTAAAGCAAGTCATAGAATCACAGAGTGGGCTGGGTGGGAAGGGATCATCTCACTCACTGTGAGCAGGGACACCTTCCACTAGACCAGGTTACTCCAAGCACCATCCAGGCTGGCCTTGGACACTTCCAGGGAATGGGAGTGATGTGAGAACTTGTGGAATGGTTGAAATCTCCACTGGAGATCATCTAATCCGTACCCTGCTGAAAGCAGGGTGAACTCAAGCAGGGTGCTCAGAGCCATGTTGTGTTTTGAATATCTCAAGGCTGGAGTCTCTGTGGGTAACCTGATCTCTGTTTGACTAGGTTCATAATAAAAATGCATAATTTTTTAAATATTTAAATAGAAAATCCTGACGGGAATTCCCATATTTTGGGTTGTGCCCATTGTCTCTGTACTGGGGAGCCTAGCACTGGGTACAGCACCCAAATGTGGCCTCAGAGTGTGGAGCAGAGAAGAAGGATTCCTTCCCCAACCTGGTGTCCCAGTGTAGCCCAGCTTGGAGCAGCTCCCATGCCCACATCCTCGCTGGAGCCAGCTGCTGTTTTGCCAAGAGTCTGGCAAAGCCAGGCTGAAGTGTTGGAAGTGTGGGATGTGAGACGGGGGATGTGCGTGGGGTAGAGCCTCTCGTGGCCCTGGGAGGGATCCCATTTGGGGAGGAAGAGCTCAGGGGAGGCAGGGGGAGGCAGCATGGAGCTATTCCAGGCCGTGCTGAATCAGTGAGAGCCCCCGAGGTGACTCTGAATCCATCTCTGAGCACCACTGGCGGTCGATAAAGCCGTGGTGGGGCTGGAGCGCTTCAGCCCCTCCCAGAGTCATCTTCCAGCCAGAGCCTCTCCCTGACCCCTCTCTGCCGGGCTCCCAAGGGACAGGCACAGGAACCTCCAGCATTTCCAGGCACTGGCTGCTCCTGCAGGAGAAGTGGGGTCTCTCTGGAGCGGAGCAGGGAAGGCTGGCAGCTCCTCTGCGCTCGGGCAGCTTTCCTTGCCAATTACACTTGTTATTGAGTATTGACTTGTGGCAAATGGGTCGGTGTAAGTGCAGGATTGGCTGGTGAGAGCCAATTCCAGGGAGATTACTGGGAAACCTTGCATTTGTGCTCTGGAGTCAAACATTTCATTTAGCAATTAGCCCTGAAGGAGCCATGGCCAGGGTACAGGGGGTGCTTGGTTGGAGAGCTCACTCCTGCTCACCTCTCTCGTGGTGTGGCTTCGTGCATCATCACACAGACTCCAGCTCTGATGAGAATTTGGAGGGATTTTGTGCAGGGAAAGGCTCAGCAGGATTTGCTGGAGGAGAGGGACAGCCTGTAACAGACAGGATGGAAGGATCAGACACTGTCTGGTGAGTCATGGAGACATTCCAGCACTCCTTCAGCTGCCAAGCACCCGTGTCTCAGGTGCTGGGGCTGAGGGTAGAGTTGAGGGCAAGCTTGTGTGTGGCAGGGTGTGTAATTCACACAGGATCTTCCATCAGTAATGTCCCACATGCATTCCCACTCAGTCTCAGGATCGCTGAGCCATGAGCCATCCCAAGCCACAGCCAGCAGGATTGGAGCAATCTGTACCAGGCTGCCTCATACTGAACCAGCTGGGAGATTTTGGCAGGTTTGGAGCCAGGGGTCGTCAGGGATTTGAGATGAGCCAAAAGGCTGGAAGCTCCAGAGCCTTCCCAAGCCTGGGGGTGACCATGCTGGGGGTGGCCAGGCTGCTGAGGGATGCTCTCCTGGTGGGCCCACAGTGCTGCTTAACCCCCCTTTCCTCAGCTCTGGTGCAGGCAAAGCCTTGTCTGACTTTTTTTTAACCCAGCTAAACTGTGATGACACTTTTTTTATCATGTAAATATTGAACCTGTCCCTGAGTCCCTGTGCGTGTTTGGTGTTGGTAGCTCTGTGTCCGTGAACTCACTTTGATAACGAAGCATTTTTATCACAGACAAAGGAAACGTGACATTGTCCTTAACATTTGGCCTTTTTAACGCTGGGAGTTCACCCTGTAGTTTGTGTAAGTTTTGTGGGTTAAGTAGGAAAATTTCTGGATGATTCCATGTTCTAGAACAGTTTGGAGCCTGGCCTATTTTGGCGTCAGCATCTCTGCACCCTGTAGAATATCCTCATCAAGAAGCAACAGTTTACACCTTCAGCAGGGAGGGAGCTCATATTCCCAGCTGTTCTCCCATCAAAGCATTAGCCTTCTGCATCTGCTGCATCATTCATCAGCCAGACACTTCCAGGCTGTCATTTTAAGTACAGTTGTGTCAGGAAAAGTCACTGTCAAATTGCCATCTCCTTGCTCAGAGTTATTGGCTCCCCGCTAATCCGTGTCCCTGGTGCAGGCAGGATTGACCTGGCTGGGCTCTGGTGACTCCAGCCAGCCAGGGCTGTGAGAGGAGGGCACAGCTGGTGAGTGTTTGCAGGATGTCCATGATATTGAAAGGATGTGAGGAACCCTGCTGGGGTGGCTGGAGTCCACTGGTTTAACTGGGCAGGGAGCGGGAGGAGCGCTCACACTGGGCTGCAGGGCGGTCGCTTGTTTGGCTGCTCCGACTGCAGGGGCTCCTCAGACTCATCTCAGCCACGCTCTGGTGCTGCTCTGGTGCTCTGCAGGAGATGGGGTTCCACATCGTGCCAGGGAGGCAGCTGAGTGATTGCAGCTCCTTGCTGGGTGGGATCTGAAGGATTTCCTGTGCATCTCCTTGCTGGGTGACCCGCCCATACTGCGGGTTCAATCTCTCACACAGCAATGCCTTTTTCAAGAAGAAAACCCATGAGGAGAGAAGATAAATGTGGACCCACTCTGGCATCATTAGAGATACTTCATGACTACAGATGCTCTTTTAATTGGTTGTAATTAGACTTGGGAGCAAACACCACAGTGAGGAGGAGGAGAGAAGCACCTTCACACCTGTCAGGCTGCACGGCCACGTGTGGGGAGCAATGGCCTTTCAGAGCTGTTTCTTGGAATAGCTGTTGGCATTCGGGGAGTATTTCCAGTCTCAGGGTCTGTTTGGTGGTCCCTGGATGGGATGTGTGTGCTCCAGAGGGACATGGACATCATCAAGGTGAGCAGAGCTGGAGAGTTGCCTGTCCCTGCTGCTTTATTTCTGAGCCTGAGGTTTGGAGTGCTCCGGAGCAGCAGCTCCTGGAGCTATGAGAACAGCTGGATGTCTTTCTCATGTGGGTACCTGGGGGACATTGGGACATTGCAAATCCAGAGTGGTTCCACAGCATCCAGTGAACTTTTCTGGCTGGGATCATGAGTTGTGACTGCTCCATCCCTGGTGTAGTACTGTGGGGCTCCCTGCTCTGAACAGAGAAGCTTGGGCTGTTTGTGGTCTGTTCTCTGTTGGGGCTGGGAGTTGGATGAAGAGGAAATTGCAGTGGTACAGAGAGGTGGGAGAGATTCTCTCCATTTTCTTCCCTGCCTCATCAGAGCTTCTCACAGATGCTGCTTGTCTGTCCCCTTGCCAAGGTGGGATGTGCTCAGGAGGTGGAAAAACATGGAACATAGGGAAAAAAGATGCTCAAGGTTGTCAGGTGAGTCTAACCCTGAGTGTGAGCAGTGCCCAGCTCCCCAGGCTGAGCTTCTTGCCTCCCCATCCCGCTACCTGGCCAGCTGGTTGGGTTGACCCCAGGTAGCTCTGCTGGGGCTTTGATCCCTGGGAACAGCTGTGGGAGACTGGAACATTCCTGTCCCCAAGCTCCTCGGTGGCTTCAGAGCAGCAGCCGGACATCAGGACCACAGCGGGCTTTCTGTGGTGGCACTGGGCACATCGTCACCCCGCCCAGCAGCAGCAGCTGAAAAGGCTGGATGACAAATTATCCATCTGGCTGCTCATTGTGTAGCACATCCCTGCCATCCTGATTTAGTATTCAACAGGCAGATGAATAATTGGTTGCCACCAGTAGGATGAAGTGATCCTTCACTCTGCCCAAGCACTATTAATTTCACACCCTGTCTGCAAAGGTATAATATTTTCCTTAAAACGTGTGACATGTGGTGAGTGGGTGTGGAGCAGGCTCCTGAGGGGCATGGCTGCAGGTGCCTTGGTCCCTAAATGGGATCAGGGATCCCCCAGAAGGATGGATGAGCAGGGCTGAGGGAATGACACACAGCTGCCTCTGCTTCCTTTTTATTGTCACCAGTGTTTGGTTTTCTGAGTCCCCTGTTCTTTTAGGTGGGAAGTTTCCCCTAGGCTGGAGATGGGATCACAGGGAGCGTGTCCTCATCCCTGCTGTGCTGGCAGGAGTGTGGCTGTATCAGGACTCCTGCTAGACCTGTTCAGCACCAGCTCCCTCCCTGCAGCTGCGGGGGACTGGGGAGCTTTGTTAACTGGGCAGCTGTGGGTTTGTGTGGTTCTGTGCCCTTCTCCCCAGGGTGTGCCTGTGGGCTTCTGCCCCACACAGCCCTTCCAGAGGGGTTGGAGGGTTGAAATCTTGATTCAGTAAACAGTAGAGATTTCCTACTGGTTTCCTTTCTCGGTCCTAACCACGATGAGAAACAGAACAAGGAGTAATGGGTTCAGACTGAAAGAGGGGGCATTTAGATTAGGTACAGATTGGACTCAAAGATCTCTCTTAAACCTGATTGATTCTGTAATTCTGTGATTTATGGAAGAAATCCTTCCCTCTGACAGGATGAGGCCCTGGCACAGGGTGCCCAGAGAAGCTGTGGCTGCCTCTGGACCCCTGGCAGTGTCCAAGGCCGTGTTGGACAGAGCTTGGAGCAGCCTGGGACAGTGGAAGGTGTCTCTGCCCATGGCAGCGTGTGGGACTGGATGGGCTTTGAGGTGACTTCCAACCAAACCATTCCATGGTTCTAAATTCAAGGACTGGTTCTCTCTGCCCTGGTTCTGCCCCTGGGCTGGTGACAGCTCTGCCTGGGCTGTGCAGGGGTTGGGGACACATCAGGCAGGGAGCTCCTTAACCTGCCCTGACAGCAGCTCTGGGATCTGTCTGCCGGCTGGAACACGCACCCGGAGCTGTTCAGACTCGCCAGGGCTGCATCGATCCGGACACTGTCCCTGTCATTCCCACCTAACAGGGCAGGGGTGACACAGTCACTGCTGCCAGCTGGAGGGACACGGCTCTGGAAATGGCTCAGTGCCAGCCGAGGCTGTGCCAGGCGAGGATGAGTGTGATCTGCCCCGGGGGGAGATGTCAGACTCCCCTCAGTGCCCAAACTGCCACCGTGCTGGTTTAGCTCTTGTCCCCTGCTCTGCCTGGCTGCAGCTGTCACCAGGGATGACTCCAAGCTTCAGATGGCAGGAGGGCAGAGGAGGAGGAGGGGCTGCCACAGGCATGGTGCACACTCTCCACCCTGTAAAACTGTGCAGGGTAATGAGCAGCAGGTTTAATGGAGTGAAAGGACAAGGATCTGGTGACCCTTTCTCTCGTGGCCCTCCCTCTGATCCATCCCTCTCTGATCTCAATCCTTCTCTCAAGCAGGGGAGAAGAGGCTGAAGGAGCTGCAGAGGGAGGGAGCAGATATCCCACCGGGCACCATCGAGGACTGGCTGGACAAGAGAGCCCAGAGGCTGAGCACAGCTCAGAGTAACAGGTACTGGGGATCATCCAGGTGTGCATGCACAGGGGGATCCCATAGGAGGGCTGGGATAGGAGAGGGTGCAGAGCATCAGAGGTCTCAACACCCCCAGCCAGCATTCCTGAGGGCCACGTGTGGATCCAGCCCTGCCTGCCCCATCAGGGATGTGTGCACAGGTGTCCCTGTGTGCCAGGGGACACACTTTGGGAACAAGCCACAGCACGGGGGTGCCTCTTGCTCTCTGCAGAGTGCAGACACACTTGGAAGGACAGAGCTGGGATCATTAATGCCCAGGGTTCAGTGTCAGGAGCCTGCTTTCATCTGTTGACAGCTCCCCCATCCCCTCCTGCCAGGGAGGGTGGAATTGGCTCCTCCTCACAGTATCCGTTCGGATTCGGGCGCCGGCTGTTTCCTCGCTCACCTGACTGTGCCGCAGGCTTAATGGGATGACATTTGGGCAGGTGCCAAATCTCTCTTCTGTTCTTTCTCTGTTTGTTCCTGTCCTCTCCGTGTTTGGACTGGGCAGGATCTTCCTTCTGGTGCTTGTCTGAGCTCGTTGCTCTGGGATTGTTCTGTCCCTCAGCTTGGCTGCCCTTGGCCTTGCAGAGGTGCCCACATTACTGTCCCCTACACTTCATTTGCCCCATTTTGTTTGTCCTGCTTGTGAATCCCTGGAACTTGGGGTAGATCAGTTCTTACAGAAAATAGTCATCACTATTCCCAGAGGAATTTCCAAACCTTTAGAACTACTTGGTCATACCCAGAGGAATGTTCAGACCTTCAGGATTTCCCTTCAGCAGTTCCCTGCTGCCTCCATAGATGTACAGAACAAATTTCCAGGATTATTGCTCTTCTTCCAGCCTCCCTGTAGGCTCAGAAACCATCTGCTGCAGGAATTAAACACCAACATTGGAACTTCACTTCCTCTCTCCAGCCTTGCCAATGCCTCTCCCAATCATCTCTGTGCTCCCCTTGTGCCCTCCAGGCCCTCATTTCATGGGATTGATTTTTCCAAAGGAAATGCAGAGTGTGGTTTTCCATCAGAAAAGGGTCCAAGGCCTCAAAGTTTCTGAGGTGCCACAAGTTCGTGGAAGTGGGTAGAGGAGAGGGATCCCATTAGCACCTTCAGAGAGGAAATGTTCTTCACCTTGCTGGCCACTGGAGAATCCCTGTGGGACTGCCATTGAGAATGCTCCAGCTGTAGGTAAACCTTTGATTGAGCACTTGTAGCTCATGAGACCCCAGGGAGTTGAGTACCCAGGCAGCATCCTGCCTATTGATCAGTTCTGCTGCTCAGGAAACAACTCATTAGGTGATGGCTCCACCTTGCAGCATTCCCTCTGCTCCATATCCACTGTGTGCCTGAGCCACAGTGCTGGGGGAATGACACCAAATATCCCTGCCCAGAGGGGCTGGTGTGTGTCCTTTATGGTCCTGCCTCATCCTGGGCTCTGGAGAATGAATCCCAGCTGAGAGGATAAACCTTGAACCGAGTGACTTTGCTCTGTGTTGGTTGCCTGGAAAACGCTCCTGGAAAACTACTCCTGTAGTTGGCTCTCGGCCATGGCCCCGCAGGGAGAGGAGGGTGCTGCTTCTCCCCGGGGTTAAGTAAAGGAGTTTGATTAGATTTCTTCTGGCATAACAATTAAAAAGATTCATCAGGATCAGAGGTAGAGGCCTGAGAAGCTACAAGGCTGCTTGCTGTCAGGGCTTGTGTGAGAGAACAAATGAGCTTCCTGCACTTGGGAATTAATGGAAAAGGTACATTTCTCATAAATTTAAACGTGCCCCGGTCAAGCTGGAGGCAAGGGAGAGATGGTTCTTGCTCCTGCCCTTCTTCATCCCAGTATGGTGTTTGCAGCAGCCTCGACCAGTAAAGCTGAGGAGAGGGGCAGGGACAGTGATTCCCAGGCCATGGGGTGGGGGAGAAGCCTCTTCCCTCTGCTGAAGGGTCCTCTGGTGCACACACCCCGCTGCTTTGGCAGCTCCTCTGTTTCCGAGGGGTCCTTGTCCTTTGGGAAGTGCACAGCTGGCTTGGGATTTGGGCTGCTCGGAAAGAAACATCTGCTGGTTTTGTTTGTTCTTCTTCCAACTCAGCTGTGTGAGGAGTGGGGATGGAGGGGCTGGGACCAGCCCTGCTTCCAGCACCTGGCAGCTGTGCCTGCTGAGCCCTTCTTGGGGGTCTGTGCTCCTCCCCCCACCCCAGACACCCTCACCTCAGCGTTCCCACCTGAGTTTTCACTGGCACACACTGTGTTAGGCTGCCTGGATATGCTGGGAATGGTCACACAACTGTTTCAGGGCTGGATTTGGGATGGAGGAGTGAATGAACTCATTTGGTGATAACCAAAACCCTCCTCTGCTGGCCCCATCTCTTTGGGGGCTACTGGAGGGGCCACAGGGAAGCCCAGCCCCCTGGTCTAGCTGTCAGACTGGCACACTGCTTCTCACCTCATCCCTTTCCATCTCCCCTCACAGTGCTCTTCCCGAGAAACCAGCACCATTCCAGTACCCTCCGGGCTGGCCACCAGTGCAGGAGCTGCCCCCGTCCCTGCAGGCCCCCCCACCTGGGGGGTGGCCAGTGCCCCCCAACCTGCAGTGGGGCTGAGGCAGTGGCACCCCCAGAGCCTGGCTGGGGCTGGCTGCCTGCCTCTGCTCCAGGAAAAGGACAGGATTATTTATACACACTTTGATTTCAATAAACCCTCCTCCCGCCCATTGCAGCCTCTGTGTGTCGTGTTCCTGCTCGCCCGGCAGCCTCCTGTGGGCTGAGCTGCTCCCCGGGCTCTCTCCCTGCCTCTGGAGCAGGGATCTGTGCCAGCAGAGCTCCAGCCCTGCACAGGGGCTGTCTGTTGTCACCTGGAGCCGACATTCCCCATTTCCTGGGTAGGATCCACCCCCTCAGGTCACTGCTGTCCGCTCTGCCTGCTCTCAGTCCAGCTCCATGCTGTGATCCAGGCTAGAGAAGGACCCAGGCTTTTAGAACTGATATTTCATTTCCTCAGGTGTTCATGCCATGTTTGTTCCTGATAAATTCAGGGTGTGACCCCACCTGGGTCCAGGTGCTGGAGCTCCCAATAGAGAGCCTGGGGAGCTTCCCTCAGCCCTGCTCCTGCTGTGCTGGGGGTGAAGGGCAAGAAATCCCAGGGTTTCTCCCCAGTGAGAGTTTGAGTCATCTCTCCTTGCTGGTAAAGTGTGGGGTGAGGGAGGTCCTTGGCTGTCTCAGGAAGGGAGCGGGGCTGCAGCTCCAGGGGCAAGGGGGGATCATGTCCAGCAGCATCCCAGGAGGCAGCTCTGACAGCGGGTTTGTCCAGGAGGGCTGTGCCCGCTGCCAGAGCATTCCAGGTTTGGCTGGGCAGGGAGGTGGTGGGTCCAGATTCGTGAAGAGCACAGGCAGGAGCCAGCTGCCTGTGGCCAAATCCTGCCTGGATCGCTCCAGCAGGGCAGGACTTCCACCTCGGGATGTGATGGCAGATTGTCACAGGAGTATCAGCACCATCCTGGGACGTGGTTCTGACAGGAGCAGGGACTGGATGTGACAGCAGCCTGGAAACAGCCTTGACTGGAGCCTGGATGAGCTCTAGGTTCAACTAGAGAATGTTTTTATCCTTCCAGACAGGAGCCTTGGGCTTGCTGGAGAGCAGGACCACGGGGCTCGGACTCAGAGGATGCAGGATTAGCCCCGTGTGCTACCCTCACTTCCACATGCAGGACAGGTGGATTAATAAGAGCACCCAGGCGGCTCCTCTTTGGGAATGGATGGGACTCCCTGGAACAAGGGAACCCTGCCCCCAAGGAAATGGGAAGTGGGGCCCCCCCAGGGGCTGTGGGATGCTCCAGAGTGGGAGCTGGGCCTGCTCTCTCCAAGCTTGGATGTGCTTCCCTATGCCCCAGCCTGGTGCAGGGGAAGAGTCCTGGGGAATGTTGAGGGACTCCACTGACTTGGGGGGACCGTGGCTGCTCTGCTGGTGGCAGCCAGGGCACGGTCCCAGACACCTTCCAAGGCCACTGCCACCAAGGAACTCCCACTCCAGTCTCTTCCATGGATTTTTTTTACCCAGTCAACATCAAAATCCTACCCTGTTCCTCATGTTGATTGGGAGTGTGCTCTGGTTCTGGTGGGTTTTCCAGCTGACCCAGGAAGGGTTGTTTTACCCAGCACTCCCAAACTTCAGGGCCCCCCAGATCCAGCTTAAATTATATAGAGTTCTCTGGGCAAGCTCTGGAACCCAACTGTAAATGAAAATTCTGGTGTAAAACACAACAGCTGCAGCCTTTCCGTGCTCTTCCTTGCTCACAAGGAGTTGAGCTGCTCTCAAAGCAGAAATTCCTGGTGAAGGCTGAAAGGCGAGAGCAGAAGCATTCCCTACTGAGCTCCAGCCTGTCTAGGGGGAGGTGAGAAGGATTGACAGGGGCATTTGTTAAAATTGGGGTTTTCCCACAAAAACTGCAGGATGTGTGGCCGACGGCCGAGCCCAGCATCACCCGCAGGATGTCAGGGATTCACGGAGCTGCGTAAATCCCGGGGGGTGGAGGAGGCTGGGAATTGCAGGGGTTTGTGTTCCAGGCAGTGGCAGGAGGTGTGACAATGCCGTGGATCGCCGGGGTGGGACACAGCCGCCCTGGGCTCATCCATGGGAAGAGGCTGCAGGAGGAGGACACCAAAGCAGGATGGGGCTTTGGCTCCTTCCCACAGGGATGGCTGGTACCCGATCCCAGGGGATGCTGCAGGCATGGACTCACTGTCCCCGGGGCGGGGTGGAGGAGCTGCTGCCCAATAGTGAAGCCCGAGCCAAAGTGCCTTTGCTGGAGCAAGAGCTGGAGTAATTTATCGGGAAGCTTTTAGGGAAATGAGCGGCTGCTGGGCCCCTGCCAAGCGCAGCCCCGCTGGGCTCTGCCCGTGTCCTCTGGCAGCTCTTGCTGGGAGAGAGGGGGACGGGAAGAGGAGTGGGAATGGGGACAGGATGTGGACTGGGGTGAAGACAGGACAGAGAGAGAGATGGAGGAAGGATCGCAGTGGGGGTAGGGATAGGGTCAAGGATGGGGACTGGCAGAGGGGAGAGGGGCAGGGATGGAAATAAGCATGGGAATGGGCATGGGGAGCAGTCAGGGATGAGGATGGGATAGGGATGGGGATGGAGATGGGATGAGGATGGGACAGCAGTAGGGATGGGGAGAGGAGAAAGGGACAGAGAGAGGAATGGAAATAATGACGGGAGTGGGACTGAAGATGGGGTTGTGGATGGAGACAGAGACTGGGACAAGGAGAGGGATGGAGCTGAGCCCATCCCACACCTTGCAGTGCGAGAGAGAGAAACAACCATCACCAACTTCCTTGCTTCCTGTCCCAAACACTTCCCAGGGACGTGGAATCGCAGCCCTGCAACCCCCGCTGGGTTTGCTGCCACTTTTGCTCCGTTGTCCTCGTGTCCAGGGAACCCGTGCAGGGTCCTGCTCCCTCCCACCTGCCCTCAACCGCGGCAGCCCCCACCTCCCAGCACATTCCCTTTGTTTTTCCCTTTCCTGGCAGTCCCTTAATTGAATTATCCCGGAGTATCTCTGTTGCAGCAGCCGCAGTGATCCGTCGCCGCTGCGGCAGAGCAGGGACGCGGCTGGGACCCCGCTCCTGCATCCCGCCTGCTCCGGGATCGGGAGCTGTCATTCCAAAGCTGCCCCAAGAAATCCGTTCTGCCGATTCCCATTAAAATTAATTGAGCAGCTTTGAAACGCTGAGCTTAGGGGATGGCGTTATTCCTTTTATCTAATTTTTTCTTTTATGTTATTGTATTTTCTGGCAAATTAAATTGTCTTCTTTATTTATTTTTTTTTCCCTTCTCTTCTGTTTATTCACAGTGTCTATAATAGACCTGGTTAAAAATAATATATATATACATATATATATATATACACACACACACATGTTTTCAGCACCATGTGGCTCCTTTGGAAATGCCAGTCCATAAAAAATCCAAACTTTCTGCGGGGGGATGGATGAAATTTCATTACAAATGCGGAGCCTCCCTCACTTTGCAAGGCAGCCGGAATGATTTCATTGCCGTGGAGCACTTCCCGTTTCCATTTCTCATTTGGACGTTCGCTTCAATTTGTTTGATAAATTAGAGAAGATCAAAAAAAGGCCCTACCCAAACCCCAAATTTATAAAACACCACCAATTCCTCCTAGCACCCCAAAAATGGAGTGTCCCCACCATGATGCTGCAGGGAATTCCCATGCTGGTGCAAGAAAATGCGTTTTCCCCATGGGAGCAGCCAGGGAGGTGAAGGTGGGGATGTCCCAGCCCCAATGTCCTGGGATGGGCTCCTCCAGCCCCATTCCCAGTGGGAAGTGCTCCATAATGGGGGAGCAGCAGCTTTGCCTGATTCTCTCCCTGCCCCAAGCACTTCCCATTCTTATTTATTCCTTTAATCTCTTTGCCATTAAAAATGTATCGCTGGGGGCTCGGGGAGGACGATCCGTTCAGTGGGAATGGGCTCCCACAGCACACACAGATGTGAGGCCGTGAGATTCCCCATGTCCCTCAGCCTGGGTCAGGCCCCAAAGTGGTGTAAATCAGGAGTAACAGTGGTTACACAAGTGGTGTAAATCAGGAGTAACAGGGTGCTCCCTGCCCACCAGCCTTGGGGCAGGATCCCCAGCTTGGTCTGGGAACTGTGGCCCTGTGGAGCCTCTCTGAGCGCCCCAGACAGATCTTGATTCTGCTGGAATTACTGTTAATCCAGGGGAAAGCACTTCTGGGAAGGGGCTTGGGCCGAGCATCCTCCTTGCCAAGGCAAAGGGACATGAAACATTCATCAAACCCAATATAAAATACCAGAGGCATGGAGAGGGGGATAAAACCACTGGGATCCATGGGAAAAGGCAAGACCTATAGCAGGATCCACAGCCAGAGTGGGGTGAGGGATGTGGGAGCTGCTGGGAATGAGCCAGATCCCACTGGCCCCGAGTTTAGGGATGCTCCAGCCCCCGGAATCCTGTGGGTCACAGCCCCCCAAAGCAGTGCCCACCTCCCGTGCCAGGAGGACTCAGCAGCACCCATGGGTGCTCCCAGGGTCCCACCCCATCACCCTCCACCCCAGCATCTCCAGGAGCCCCCGCAGCCCAGAGCGCTTCAGAAATACCAGTTTTATTTCAGATCGGAAACAACCAACCAGGAAGAACAAAAAAAAAACAAAAACAAAACCCCAAAAACAAAACCACCACCCCAAAACCCCCAAAAACTCCAAAGAATGAGAAACGGCCCCAAATCCGAACCAGTCCGTGCCCAGGTGGGTGCTACATACAGGCTGGGGGGTTCCGGGGCGTGCGGGGCTCCCCGGCCTCGGGGTCGCTCCGGCTCTTCCCAAGGGGGGTCGGCTCAAAGTGCATCAAGCAGGAGGTCAGGAACGTCCCCGCACCGGGCAGGTGGGGAAACCGAGGCACGGCACGGGGCCGGGGGACAGGGAGGGGCTTTGGGGGAGAGGGTGGAATCCAGCCCTTGGCAGCCAAGTCCATGCAAACGCTCCCGGCTCTAGGAACCATCTCAGGCGCGTGTATTGCTTAGGGGATGATTTGGTTTATCCTAAATATGAGCTCTAACGCTAGATCGGAGAATCCCACGGGATCCGCCGCGGGAGGGGCTCACGGGGCTCCATGCACGTCACATGCACTCACGGGTCGGTTTTTGTCTGGCGAGGGGGGGTCGGTGTCGGTACCAAAGTCTCCTGCGAACAGCAG